AGGATTTTTGATCTGGATAGTAAAGTTTTCTATAAGGTGTTTGAAATGTTTTACAATTTTGAAAGATATAATACCATACGTGTCACAATATAGTTTTTGTGTTGTACATTTTTTTGAAAAGAAATCTAACGAACATAATGATTCCTGTTGTTTCATGTTGAGATATAATTTTAGGCACCAAATTAGGAGCATCCGGATGTTCAGAATTAGACTTTAGATTAGACACTAAAAGTACTGCGTTTTCTAATGAGTCTTAACGCAGTAAAATTCTATTCGATAGACCATTTATCTTATTTTTTGGCATTTTTTAAATACTTATGTAGCGATACTTAAATACTAACGATGCAAAAGATAATTATGCCGAGAATATAATTTCATTCAGCTATATTTTTCGGTTTATTGTTTATTTTTTAGTTTTAACAACTTTAAATCAATGACAATCTTCAGAATATAATGCTCCAATATTAGACTAGCGTTCATGGAACCATTTGTTCCGTGTGTATGAGTCTAATTGTTCAGTTACAATTATTTTCATTTTTTATACTATTATTGTTTGAGATCGTGTGGATTTCGATACAGTTATCAGCAATCACTAATTTTTTTATGGGATTAGTTCTGTTTTATACATGTTTAGCTGTATCCCATTTGTTAGTTGGTAAGATCTAACGGGTGTTTCCTTTTCAGTTTTCTGGGTAGTAGGGAGCAGTCTTTTGCCAGGAGGTTCCTGTGATTTTTGATTTTGTGTTGATGTGTCCTTGCGTTCTTTAGTATTTCCTAGAGGTGTGCGGGTAGCCCGACTATTTCGGGTAGTCCGTCTATTTCGGATCGAGTAGGAAAAAGTTCAAATGGGATATGATAGGCATTATATTGCGTTATCGAAATCAATTATTCATAATATTTAATATACATATATTGTTTTTCTTCAAATGTAATAATATTTACTCTAAATGATAATGTAAAAAAGAAAATTGCTCAACATTTTGTGATATTAATTTCGCTCGAGTTGGTATTATTATATTTTTCGGATAAGGAAAATAGTCTTTCACTCGTAATTTGAGTGGCAGGTAGAGCAAGAAAATTTTTTGCAGCTAAAGACAATAGTGGAAATCTGGCTGTATTGCATTTCCACCAACTAATGTCTATATTTCTAGCACTAAAACCATCGGCGAAATACATATTAATACTCTTATTAATATTTGGACATCATGCTATTCAAAATATTGTTGTAGACTTCGATTGTTTATAATAGTAAGTTTGGATTAACTTTTTAATAATATATTAGAACATTCATTATAGTTTATAGTAACATAAATTTTATTTATTTATTGCACATACTTTTCTTAATATCAAACAATAAACTGAATTATAGTCGAAATATAGTTTAGCATAAATATTCGGACCTTTAAAGAACTATAATATTTAAACCTGAAAATTGTTAACATAAACAATAATTAATATTTTGTTGGGTAGCCCTCAACTTCAATTACATATCGCAGACTTCTAAGCATATTTCCAGTAATTTTCTTTAAGTAATTGAGCGGAATATTCTTCCGTTCATCGATTAATTTGTAGAGGCCTAGAGTCCCTCGAGTACGAGTTTCGAACACCGATTTGTACAAGCCGCAAGTGGCTGTGCGCCTAGCGTCGAAGTCTAACGATATCCGATGTTAAGCAAAACAGAGTGCGGAACACCGCTAGGATGGGTGGTGTGTGACCGTCCAGCCTTAGCGAGTAGTTAGAACAATAAGCGTCTGGGGTAATAAGGGGTCGCTGCCATCAAGCCCCACTGATGATGAGTCTAGGCAGCGACTCTGAGACGAAACGCCGCCATAACCTTTCCTCACCTTACCCACATTTACCAATTCCTACATTATCCTCAACACTTTCAATCCCCTTCAAATCGTTGTTTTAACTCGTCTTTCGATTTATTGACTGTGCACTAGTGTTTGAAAAGTAGAGGCAATGGAAGAGCCAACTTTCGCTCTCATGCTTTCACCTTTTATTTCTAAGGCAGCGGATGTCCTAAGCAGAATTCTCAGAATCCAGTCGCTTGGCCTGGGAGAAAATTCTTTCGTGAAAACGACTTATTCTAGACTTTTCTCAAGGCTAAAAATAATAGAAAGCAATCCTTGAAAGGAACCAATTCTGGGTATTCCTCGACACTTGGAGCGTCATATGTTCGAGCCTCATGCGAGCCTACATTCCTGGTGCCTGGACTTTGTCGTCCGAGACGAATCGCTCGCACCGAGGTAAAGCACGTCTCCGGCAGGCCTGTGCATGAACGCATCGTGGCGCCAGACTGTCGCCTTGAGTCCCAAGTTTGGGAGATGGGGGCACAAGCCCGAGCATCGTCCAATTCATTCTGAACAACCCTCGAGAAGATCACTTCGGCAACGTAGTGTCAGTTTTTATCTGTGCAGTGCAAGTTCTCCTGTGTGTGACCACGGTCAAACATCAAGCACACTTCATCAAATAAAGTAAGCTTTCTCTCTGAGTTTTAGGCGAGAACTTGACGGAGAAGGAATTCTCTGGGGAGAATTCCTTTTTGCCTACGTACGAAGTACTGCAGCGTCCTTCTCCAGCAATCGAGACAATTAACGTGCGCAGCACGAGTAAGGACTGCACACAGTGAAGCCTGACTCCAAGCATGCCCTGCTTCACTCACGGGACTTCCTCATTCTCTAAGCGTGTCTTGCACATTCAGGGGACTTCTCAGTTAAGTGACCCTCTAGGCGTGCTTTACACATTCAGAGGACTTTCCCTGCGAAGTCACCCTCCAGGCGTGCATTGCACATTCACTGGACTTCTTCTTTGAAGTCAAAGACCACGCTAGCTCTCCCCATCGGGAGTCTAAAAGCTACTGCGTGCGATCACATTTCTTCCTAACGATTTTTACTGTAACCTGAGTGACCTGCGTGAGCTGCTGTCTTCCCAGCGACGGCATCAGTGACCTGCGTAAGCTGCTGTCTTCCCAGTAACGGCATCAGTGACCCGCGTAAGCTGCTGTCTTCCCAGCGACGGCATCAGTGACCTGCGTAAGCTGCTGTCTTCCCAGCAACGGCATCAGTGACCAGCGTAAGCTGCTGTCTTCCCAGCGACGGCATCAGTCACCAGTTCCTGCGTGAGCTGCTGTCTTCGTCAACGACGCCTGTGTGAGCTGCGTGAGCTGCCTTGGCAGATAACAACATTCACCAAGCGGCAAGCGTTCCAGCCTTCATAACTAAGTGCCACTCAGATCCTCAGACGCTTCAACATCGCGAGCAGTTTTTTGTTGTGCAGAGCGTGGTCGGGAAATACATTCATTCATTAAAAGCTATTCGTCTGTGTCGATCCCTCTGTTTCCCTTAACCTTTTCTACATTTTAAACAACTAGGATATACAAACGTCGAAGAATCGGAGACATTTAAGTCGCAGCTACATCGAGAGATACAAACGTATTTTGCCTATGGTCTTAATGCTAGAAATATAGATATTATTAGCTAGTGGAAATGCAATACAGCCAGATTCCCACTATTGTCTTTAGCAGCAAAAAAATTTCTTGCTGTACCTGCCACTCAAACTACGAGTGAAAAATTATTTTCCTTATCCAGAAATATAATAACACCAACTCGAGCGAAATTACTATCACAAAATGTAGAAAAATTACTTTTCTATATTATCATTTAGAATAAATATTATTACTTTTTTATATTATCATTTAGAATAAATATTATTACTTTTTTATATTATCATTCAGAATAAATATTATTACTTTTTTATATTATCATTTAGAATAAATATTATTACTTTTTTATATTATCATTTAGAATAAATATTATTACATTTATAGAAAAAAAATATATATGTTTATTAAATATTGAAATTGACTTCGATAACGCAATATAATCCCTATCTTATCCAGAGTTAAGCATATTTTATTTGAACGAATAACGAATAAAATACTGTCAAATTTATTCGTAAATAACAAATAACGATTTTATTAGAGAAAAAATTATTCGTTCCTTATAAGTAACGATTTTATTCGAAGGAAAATTATTCGAACACAGTTGGGCATTATTCGAATAAAATTTTATTCAAAATATTTACTGAAATAGTGTAAAGAAAAAGAGTCAGGAGTACATTTTTTTTCAATTTTGGTTTATTTAATAAATTTGCTTTGCTTTTAACATAAAGCGGAATCTATTTCAACCGACCAACATTTACAAACAAATGACAACGTAGAAAAATTCTTGTACTATAATTTTTTACAGATAATAGAAATGATTACATATCTCTGAACGCATATCTCATAATTAAAAATATATTTTTGAAATATAACACTCCTTCGCCATCTTCTGCTCCAGTAGAGCGTTTGTTTTCATTTGCAACGATAACAAACTCGTCTAAAGCAGATTAACTAACAAAATATTCGAACAAAAAATTGTACTAAAAACAAATTTATTAAATAAACCAAAATTGTGAAAAAAGGACTCCTGATTCTTTTTTTTTATATTATTTCAGTAAATATTTCGAATAAAATGTTATTCGAAGAATTTATTCGAAATGTTATTCGAATAATGCCCACCTCTGATCCTATCCCCCTTGAACCTTTTCCAACTCGATTCGAAATCATCGGGCTACCTGAAATCTTCGGGCTACCCGAAATCATCGGGCTATCAGCCCGAGCCCGCCCGACTTTGTGCGAGCCCGATCCGAACCCGAAATTTCGGGTACCATTGAGCGTCTAATATTGTACGTAGGATGATGGATTGTAGATTTTCTATCTTTTTTATGTTCGACTTGGTTGCCATGCCCCAGATTTGTAGCCCGTATGTCCAGATAGGTTTAATTATAGTTTTGTAGATTAGTAACTTATTTTTTACGCTTAGCTTAGAGTTGCTTGATGTTAGCCAGTACATGGATTTTTTAATTGTTTTTATTTGTTTGATCTTTTCTTGGATGTGTTTTTTCCAATTCAGTTTGTTGTCTAGATGTAAGCCGAGATATTTGACGGAAAGTGCTTAAGGTAGTTCTTGAGTGTTGAATTTGATTTTTGGAATTGGCCCTTTGTTGAGCGTGAATGTGATATGTACACATTTGGTTGTGTTAATTTTGATTTTGTTGTCCTTTGTCCACTTTTCTATTTCGTTTAAGTGATTTTGTAAGGTTTTGGTTGCTTTTTTAACGCTTTTTTGCGTAGATAGTATTGCCGTGTCATCGGCAAAAGTGTATATTTTTGTTCCTGGTGCTGCGGGTAGGTCCGCGGTGAACAGATCATACAGGATGGGTCCTAGCACACTGCCTTGAGGCACTCCAGCGTGTATCTTTTTGAGTGATGATTTTTCATTTTTTGATTCTGACGTAGAACTATCTATTTGTTATGTGTGACTCTAGTATTGGATATAGGTCTTTTGATACTATTTCTTGAAGTTTTTGAAACAGACCATCGTGCCATACTTTATCGAATGCTTTTTCTACGTCTAGGAATGCTGCTGTACAATATTTTTTTTCTTCCATGGCACGGATTATGCTGTTTATTATCCTGTGTATCTGTTCTATTGTGTTGTGGTTTTGTCTAAATCCAAATTGGTGATCAGGGATCAAGTTTTTGTTGGTGATTTCCTCTATTAGTTTTTTATAGATGGTTTTTTCTATTACCTTGGAAATCATAGGAAGAAGAGATATAGGTCTATAGGATGATGGGAATTTGGGATTTTTGCCTGGTTTTTGTAGAGGTATGATTTCTGCACACTTCCAGATCTGGGGAAAGTTGCCTATCCTGTATATCGCATTTATTAGAATTGTTAGGAATCTTACCGCTTTGGCTGGGACTTTTTTGAGTATTTTTGCTGTTATTAAGTCATATCCTGAAGTTTTATTATTTTTTAGTTTTTTAATTATTGTGAAGACTTTCTCTTTCCTTATTGCTTTGTATTTTAGTGTCATTGTTTGGGAGTATGTGGGGTTCGTTAGTGAATGTTTCGCTCAGATACTCTGCCATGCTTTCGGCTTGGTCTTCTATCGTTATGATCCAGTTTCCGTCCGGTTTTGTATAGAGGAAATTTGGGTGAGTGGTCTTTTGAGTTTTTTGTACTTTTGCATAAGAAATAGTTTATATTGCTGCTATTGTCTAGATTCATGATGAAGTTTGTGAATTCGTTGTTATTTGTTTTGCAAATTTCTCGTTTAATTTTGTTTGTAAGTTTGTTTATCATGGTCTTGAGTTGAGGCCATCTTGTGTTTTGCCATTGTTTTCTTGCTCTTTTCCTGGTTTTGATTAGTTCTAGTATGTGTCGGGATTTCCATACACTTGGATGTTTCCGCCTCGTACTTTGTGGAGTGGAATGCTGCCGCTTCGAGTGTGCTTGTTAGTATTTCAGCTGCCTTCTCTATGTCTAGTGCATTTTTTAGAGGTATATTGCCCTTCAGATTTTTATTAACGTATTCTGCATATGCTATCCAGTCCGTAGTGGCGTTTGTCAATTTTGTTTTTTCGTCTTTTGTCGATCGTATAGATAGTGAGTGTGTGGTCTGAACTTAAATCTAGCAGCTCCTCAGTTTTGATGTTCAAATTTGTATTCGTGACTGCTATGTCTAGGATGTCCGGTATTTTGTTTGGGTCTGATAGGTTGGTCTCCTTGATGCGTAGATTTTTAGGTTGTTAATTTTTATGCACTGGTAGAAGTCCTTTGCCTTAGGGTTGTTTGTTTTGGAGCCCCAATAGTTGTGCTTTGCATTCAGGTCCCCTAAGCTATAAATTTTGTTTTATAGCTCTTAAAGAATTTGTTATATTTTTCTGTTGATATTGCGTGTTTTGGTGGGCAGTATATTGCTGAGATATTGATACATCTCGGTTATGTAGTGTAATGTTGACTGTTGTTGCTTGTATTTTGTCAGTTTGGTATGAGCTTGTTTGTGCATGTTTGATATTATCTTTTATGTAAATTCCCGATCCGCCGCGTACTTTGCCGCTAGGGTGTGGTGTACCGTAATAGGTATAGTATGGTATTTAAGTGTGTTTTATTCGTTTCGTGTGTTTCTGAGATTGCTATAATGTCTATCTCAAGCTGTTTTAGGAGTAGTTTTAGTTCGGATGTCCGATTCTGTAGCCCGTTACTGTTCCATTGCATTAATTTAATTTTTTGCTTGGTTTGTTCCTGTAGCGTGATTAGTTTCGATAATAAGTTTAGCATTACAGTAATTTGTTGTGTTAGGTTTTCTACTAGTGTTCAAGTCTTTTTCTGTTTTCTAGTCTTTGCATCTGAATTGGTTCGTGTTCGTTAGTGTCGTGCCTGTTGTTCGGTTTTAGTACTTCTGCATAGTTCCTATATTTTTGATATTTGTGTTAACATTTGTGTTAGTGTTTGCAGTGTTGGTTTGTGATGGTGCTAATTTTTGTATTCCTTTGTCTCTTATTGGGGGAAATAATTTTTTTTGCAGCTCTTTTCTTACCATGTAGCCTTTATAATTTACTGGATGGTTGTTTCTACAGTTAGCACAGACTACTTTGTTTATTCTTTTGCCTAGTGGACAGTTTTCGGTGGGATGGGTACCTGCACATTTGACACATCTAGCTTTATTGCAATAGTTCTTAGTATGTCTATATCTCTGGTATCTAGCGTACTGCGGTATTTCTCTGTTAGTTCTTGGCGGTTCTATGTTGACTTTGGTATTGCATACGATTGATGTGTATGTCTTTATTATTATTGGCTTGTTCTATTTCTACCATTGGGACTGGGATTGTCGTACCTCTTTTTGTGAGATCAATGATATTTCTTACCTTGTGTCCTTTCTACGTCTGTTTTAATGTATTCTATATGTAGCTTTGGGTGTAATCCTTTTATCACAAATTTAAACTTTCTTTCCGTTTTTGCTTGGAATGTACAATATTCTGCATTCTTCTCTTTTAGCGTTCGTATCATGGCTCTATAGGCATTGGGGGTTTGTATTTGTAGTTTGACTTGTTTGTCTTTCAATTGCTTCAGAGTGTATTCTGTAGGGCCTACTATTTCGTTTAATTTTTCTATTAGTGGATTGATATTAGGAGCTTCGATGTATATGGGAGTTGGTTTAGGTTGTGAGGTGGTGATCATTTCTTTTTCTTCTGTTAGGTTTTGAAGTGCCTGGAATTTGTTTGTTATTGGTATTATTTCTCCAAGCCAATTTTCCTTCGGGTGTATTTTAGTTAGTTTTAGAGTCAGGGCTGTAGTTGTGTTTTTGGCATTCAGAGTTATTTTTCTCTTTTTAGCTTGCTTTTGTATTTTCCATTGGTCTTTATCTTTGCTGTTTGCGTCTGTTTCCATGTTCGAGGTGTCCGTCTCGTAGTCGTCACAGTCGATAGTTTCCTCACTTTCTGACATATTAATTTTTCTTTTGTTAGCTTAAGTAGTCTTTTCGATGTTTTTAATGTAAACTCTAGATCTTATGTTTGAGTTTTGGCTCGGCCTTCGTCGGGCCGCTGGCTGTTTTCAAGTTGGTGCTGGTCTTGATCGTTTTTCTTGTTCTTTATTTTGTTTAATTCACTTCACTTGGGCTCACTGTTCTATTACCACTCTGATACACTGATAGCCTTGAATTTAATTCCACTATTTTCCATTCGTGTGTTGAGAATTTGGCTTATCTGACACTAGTATTAGAAGGAACTGCTGTGCCTGTGTGTACTTGTGTGGCTTATTGTGGGTAACTACTAGAAAAACGAGAATTGAAGTACTCTGTTTGTGGATCTAAATTTTTTCGATTATATGGTTTCAGTAAATGTTGTAACAGTGGATAAGTCTCATCTTCAATAAATACAAAGGGCATTGGTATGATGTTTCTGGTAATGGAGGGTCTGTAGGAATATTTAAATTTTCTTTTTCCATTAACTCAAACATTTCTGAAGAAAGAAAAGTGCCATCATCACTTTGCTTTCCGTATCCTCCAATTTCCACAATTATAAATTTTCCATGAGCATTTGCAATCGCTTGCAAAACAATAGAAAAAGATTGCTTATAATTATAGTACATTGTCCCAGAATTGGGTGGACATTTTAAGCGTATGTGCTTCCCATCGATTGCACCAATTGTATTTGAGAAATTTCAAATATTATAAAAATCATTTGCAATTCTCAAAAAATCTTCAGAAGTTGGAAATTTCACGTGGATTGGCTAAAGACATTACCACAATAAAGTTGTCATTGATTCTACGATTTTTATTATAGTAGTGAGGCAGTTTACACGTCAAAGAAAGATCTCTGAAGCTTTTATCAATCGCAAGGAGTCTACAAAACAGTGGTAAAAAAGGGAAATTGTAATTTTTTGTTTCAGGTAAGGAAATTAGAAACAAATGGATAACTTTGAAAGATAAATTTCGTGTTGAGATGCACAAAAAAATAAAACCGAAATTAGGGGATGGCACTGGAGAATATACCGAAAATCATCATGAAAATCAGCAAATAAATGAAGCAGAAGTATCTTCCTGGCAATATTTTAAGCCTTTGTTATTTTTCAAGGATCAATTTACTCCTCGAGAAAATAAGGGAAATTTGACCTCGCAAGATACAATATCCCCTTCACCTGTAGATCTTGCAACGCTAAATCCAAATGAAAGTATATTTGAGGATGGCAGTCCTTCTCCATCTCCACATAATCTTTTAACCCTCTGCTTGCTGTGCCGGAGTCACAGTTTTGACCTGTGCTGGAAGCTGCTTGTGTTAGTGATCGCACTAACGCACGAGCATTATGTGGCTGTAAGCCATGTGTTTGCCAAATTGCCGAAGTGACGACGACTAAAGACGAAAAAAATCAGTTTCTGGTAACGTTCTGAGGAAGAAAGATCTGTGAAGCAATTTTTTATTTCAAAGTTTATTTCATATTTTAGTGTTTTTATTATTGTTTTAGTATTTTAGTATTTAGTATTTAATAGTTTGTATTATTTTTGTTTTTAGTTTTATTTAATATTTTATGCTATTTTTGTATTTAGTGTTGGATGATACCAATCCGGACAATATTGAATGTAGGCAAATACTGACAATAAGCTAGCAATAGTCCACATAAAAGTGGACTATGAATAGTTAGTCATAAAGGCAAGATCCAATGGTTGGTCATCTATGTTCCTTCCCCTTCCACTTGACGATGATAATCCAATATATATAAGGACATGCTTTAGAAACATTCGTGCTCTCTTGTAACATTCTATATCGCGCTCTCTTATAACATTCTATATCACTAACTCTTATAACATTTTAAATCATTATAGATTCATTCAATATCGCTAACTCATAAAACATTCTAAATCATTCTATATCGTTAAGAGCATTAGACATTCATCATATTCTAAGACATTCTAAATCATTGTATATCATCCTATTTCATATACGACCACGACTGTAAGGGAATAAACTCTTCTAAATTGTAAACATGTTGACTCCATTACACGGAATCCAACATTAGTATTTTGTATTATTTTTGTATTTACTATTTAGATTTTAGTTTTTAGCACTATTCTAATATTTTACTATTTTTATAATTAATTTACTGGTTTTATTGTAGGCAATAATTTTACAAGGCACTTCTCGTTGAGGACAAAGTGTATATTTTCGCGCTAGACTGACTCCGACGTTCGACTTGGTGACGTTCTGCTGACGGACTGCCCCTCCGTGCACTCCTTCGGGTATATATCCCTCGGTCCGACTTTCGTCTGGATACCCTAGCTCTGGTTTACGGGCATCCGTCATAAACCTTGGGACCTTACGGGCATCCGTCATAAACCTTGGAACCGGCACATGGTCCTTAATCTTGAGTGGCCTCTTCTACCGAGTAGGCAAGGAAGTCTTCCCACGCCTAGGAACGGGCGGTGTGGCTAACATTCGCTCACATTATTCATATTTTTGTTCTTTTTATTACTTTTTTCTGTTGTTTCTATTTGTTGACGCAATGTCAACACCATTGCCAACGAGCAATTTTTCTTTGTCTTCTTTCGCTCAATTTGCACAAGACGTTCCTGACAGTAAATGACATCAATGTAGAGTAAATATAAATAACTTTATTATACATGTGACTATTATTTGTTCCTTACACTCTTACATGTTCCTATATGAGTCGAGTGTCTGTCACTGTGTTGGTACAATATCGGTGAAGAACTCGGTCTCGAGCGACCGTTACACTCTGTACAGTATCGGTGAGCCGTCCGGACGACCCTAAATATGTATTAGTGGGATATCTGTGTGAGTCAGAAATGACTTCAGCACTGGACGCTGAGGTTCAGTAGTCGGAGGGTTAATGAGTGATATTGGGTGAAAATTAATGGAATTGGAAGAACAAAAATTAAAATTGTCAGCTGAAGACCAAAATGAAGATATTCGGTTTTTTCAGAGTCTCATTTTTCACATAAAAAAAACTTTCGAGTGAGAAAAGAATGCTATTGATGATGGATATTCAACAAGTTGTGTATCGACATGTTTACAGTACACCATAAACACCATAACCAAGTGATCTTATTATATTTAATTATATATTATATTATTCATAAAATTCTTATATTATGTAACTTTTATGTTACGTTAACTTTAATTTAATATTTTATTTAATGAATTATAATAAAGTATTTATGCATAATTGAATATATAACATTGATTTCTTAATTTAAATTTATCTTATGGTAACGACTAAGCGTTCTTCGACACTGATAAGGTTCTGAATAAAATTGTTCCGTCGAATTTTAATTTTTGGACGCACCAATTCTAAGATGCTGTCGAATGTCACAATTTTCATTCGAAAGTATTGTCGAAATTTCTCAGGATGTTCTCTTAATTTTGGGTATAAACGACAAAATTCTCCATTTCTTTGTCTATTTCTATTAATAGGATGGATTGGCCATCTTCTGATCTTGTTTTTTTGCTAGAGATATGACGTTAATATGTAATATTTAACTGCAATACTTTCTACAAGCACAAGTTTCTGCTGTTTCTTCGAAGGCATCTTGAGACATACTGAAAAGAATGGCTTGCTGTAGCATTTCACTCCTCGCTTTTCTCTGCGTCAATATAAACACATCGCACCGCTCTGATAGCCTCACAGCTCTTCTCTCTACTCACCGTTCTCCTTCTCTCCTTGCCGCTATAATCCGTTATAATCGCCACCTAATGTTCAAAGTTCAATAAAATGGCGAAAAAAATCTTACAGCATATTTTAAAAGGTCATTGTAAAAAGAAAGTTTCAATCTTTAAGACCATAAAAGATGTAGTCATGAAAACATTTTTTCAATGATTGTAGAGATGTTTGAATTTCAAGAACAATGTTTGCCACTTACTGCATGCAAAAATATCTTTGAAAAAAAGTAAAAGTTTTATGCTTTAAAATGAGGCCATCTGAGTTGTTATAGAATTTTTTTTCACGAGATTAAAACAATTTAAAATATCGACAATTTTTCATTGAATATATGAATAATTTCATAAATGATATATATAGGTGTAATATATAAGTATAAAATATTTTTATTTATTTATTAAATTTAATAGCTGGACCAAATGTAATTTCTGCACTAACTGTTTTAAATATTACGTTTAATATAGTAGAAAAGTAATTTCTTATAGATAGACACGCATGTATGTCTCGAAACGTAATTAACTTCATTTTAAACCGCAAATTCGTAATTCGTGTAATTTGGTACCTGTTTGTTCAAACTTGTTTTGAAAAAAGAAAATTTGTGATTTTGTTAGCAATTGTTTGTTTGGCATCGATTTCAAAATGGAAAATCAGAAAAGAACATTTTTGTCATATTTTACTGTGCTAAAAGAAAAAGAACGCTATACAGACTCATAAAAAATTATCTGATATCTACGGTTTTCAAACTACGGTAGTATCGGAATCGATTTATTAAATTTCTCTATTGATGAGGATATCAAATTGTTCTATTTTTCTTATTGATAAAAATAAGAACTTTTCTGAACGCAAAATCATGAAGCTACCTGAAAAATGACAAAAGGTAATCGAACAAAATACTCAATGTATTAATAAAGTTTTTATTTCTCATGAAAAATTCGCTTTTCATTTGCACACAAAAGAGTTACTTTCTAATAATAGTAAAAGGCTGTTTCGATCCGGAAGTCAGCAAAGATTATTTTTTGGAATACGGTTTGTTGGCAAATATAGTTTTGGCTTTCGCAAGTCGATGATCTATCTCATATCAATACTGATAGTTTAAAATGTGTAAATCTGTTTAAAAAATGTCGATCATTTTTTAAAATAAGAAAATCGATATTGGTTTAAAATGCACGAATAAAAAGTTTCAAATCAAATACACGAAAAAATAAAATTAACAATTTTAATTGAATTCGCAAACATGAAAAATTTTATTACTTTTGAATATTTGACTTTGATTGAAAATTTTTCTGCCAGGGATAGTAGTTCTTATGTTATAATAATTCACAAAAATAAATGATTTTTAATGAAAAAAATGGTCATTGAAAGTCATTGAAAGTAAAGTTTATTCCTTAAAAAACATAAAATATTTATAAATATTTCAGAAATTAAAGCTAAGCGACAATGATATGTATAGGAAAAAATTACTCAAAACCTCATAACCTTGACAAGTTCATCGAAATAATTATTAAAAATACTGTATATCAGCTGTAGTTGTCTTGTAATTAGTCAATGTTTGTAATTTTATATTAAAAATTAGTGTTAATTCCAAGAATTACATACAATATCTTGTTCTATATTTGTACTTCATTTGTTCATTTTGTACTTCATTAAATTCAATCAACAAAGAAATCTTGTTCGAATTATTTTTCTGTAATATTTTGCTTTGATAAGTTTTAAAAATATTCGGGAAAGAAACTACTTCTAAAAAATTGTTTATATACCTACTTATACATTATCATACAGTCAATATATACGGGGTGCTGCAAATAAAATGTTACAAGCTATTTCCTCACAAACAATTGAATGTGTATTTATTTTGGCATTTTGATAGGATTAAATTATTTAGAGGGGCTTATGTTTTTTTTTTGAGACTCTTTTTAGAAATAAAAAACGAGTCCCCCCCCCTAGATTTTTTTAAATGGAAAATGTATTATTCAGATAATTCTCGTCAAACGAAAGAAGTAGTTCGTAGCTTGTTTCTGAAAAAATTATTTACACCAGGCTGGGCATACATTTTAAACTCTCTATCTATGCAATTATCTTCTCATTTACTTGTTATGTGTAAAAATATTTTAAATAAAACTTATTCTACTTTGAAAGGAACATCTTATGATGGTCATTAGATTGTTTAGGTGAAGGCGTTTCGAGATTTCGAGGTCGCTCCTATTTTTTGAAATAAGATCACATATTTTTTTTATACATCAATCGATGCAACTCGACATTCTCTATAAAAAAATATTATACTATAAATGTTGAAAAATTATTAGTTTAGGAGATATTTTAATTTCAATTTTGTAAAATCTGTTATATGAAAGAGAAGGAAAAGTAGACACGATATTCCTGTATTCGATATACTGTTCTTGTTTTTCATGCAAATTAAATAAGAATTAAATAAAGTTAAAGTTAAATTAAAGACTAAATGGTTACTGAATCTGCTATACTGTGACGATTGTTGGTGTAGAGCACGTTTATTTCTTATTAACTTTTCCTTTACTTTATTTTATAGAAAGAAAATTAGTTTAAGAACAAATAACAGAATAAAAGTATTGATATAAATTAGATATTTCTATAAAGTGTTATGTAAATTTGTAAAAATTATGAAATCTTATGATGAGTAAAAGAAACTTATGATTCTATATTCAATTTTTTGTAAACTGTCATAAACATCTAAAATAACATTTATATTTGTAAATATAGTTGTGGTTAAAAACAATGACAACATCGATTTTGATTCTGCAATCAGTTATTAGAGTGAATCATGTAACGTGATGACATCAAATAACTCATAAAATATTTTACGAAAAAATGTTTCAGATAGAAGTTGCATGACTTCCAGAAGAGGATATACATATAGTATTGTAATCAGTTTTATGTTATTTTGCTTTTTTATCAAAATATGAAGGTCACCTTCAATTTTTTAAATAGAATAGTTAATATTTCTTTCCAAATTCGGATAAAGCATTGAATTCTACATAAAAAAGTATTACACCAAATAGGGTCTAAAATACATAGTTACTGAGATATTAGCAAAAATATTTTTTTACATTGTATTAGAAAAGACCGTTAATCTCAGTAACTATGTATTTTTGACCCTATTTGGTAATACTTTTTTTATGTAGAATTCAATGCTTTATCCAAATTCGGGAAGAAATATTAACTATTCCATTTAAAAAATTAAAAATGACCTTCATACTTTGATAAAAGAGCAAAATAACATAAAACTGATTACAGTACTATATGTCTCTCTGGAAGCCATGCAACTTCTATCTGAAACATTTTTTCGTACAACAAATATTTTATTAATTATTTGATGTCGTCACGTTACGAGGCTCACCCTGTATATTCATTTATAAGAAATAGAGCAATTTATTTATTTTATATTTTTTATTTTTATTTTTATTTTTATTTTTATATTTATTTTATATTTTTATTTTTATATTAATTTTATATTTTTTATTTTTATTTTTGTTTTTATATTTATTTTATATTTTATATTTTTATTTTTATATTTATTTTATATTTTTTATTTTTATTTTTATTTTTATTTTTATTTTATATTTTATATTTTATGTTTTTTATTTTTGTACTTATTTAATATTTTATATTTTTATTTTTGTATTTATTTCATATTTTATATTTTTATTTTTGTATTTATTTCATATTTTATTATTAACAATTTTTCATCTATAAGAATTTATTAATAATAAATTTTATAAAATAATATATAGAATACATATGATGTACAAAAGTAAAGCATTCAACATATGATAAATGTTTGTTCAGGTTTTCGTCCTTCACTCGTGTTTATAGAAATACGAATTTACATAAATATCAGGCTATTTTTCTGTCATTTCTATATCATCTATTGTTTTGGTTTCTTACCAGCATAAAAACTGTATTGATTTCATGAACATGAAAAATTCCAGTAAAAATAGTCCAATTATGTATTTCATTTGGAGTGAATCATGATATCTTTAAATTACGTTTTAGAAAAAAATTGAATAATGTGTCATATGTTTTATAGATTTATAAAATTTCAATTCAATTTTATATTTTTCAGTAAAACATACATTTGTAAGTAACATCTTATCATCTTAAAAATGACCAAAAAAATTAAACATCATTTATATCAGTTAATTTTCTATTTTCTATTTTCTATTTTATCAAATATCTTTTTAAGGAGAAATTCTATAAAAAAATGTTCCATATAAAAGTATAACTAATTGTAAATATATTTAATAAGTATAAGAAAAATATAACTTTCTATTTAAAAAAAGAAAATTGACATTCAAATAATCTAGAAGATTAATTAAGCCTAACAAATAAAAAGCAGGTGTGATAGTTGCATTACTAAATTGTGAAACTTTTGTATTAAAAATTTTTTCCTAAAAAACGGTTTTTTTTCGAAATATTTAGATTGAGAACTTTCGAATGAACACATTGTATGTAAAAGAATAGTTTTAGTAATATGAGATTGATTGTTAAATTTTTAAACTATCTTAAATTATTAAATATTAAATCGCAGTATTATATAAATATTCACATATAAATGATAGTTATCATGTTTTTAAATCTATTTTTAAATGTCATAATTTAATCAGTTTAAAAATTGAAATACTGTTTCAAGTATACCTTCACACAAGTAATGTGTTATACATAAAAAAATCAGAGTTCTGCGCAGGGATCACGCGCAGATCCTTTGTCTCTTATATTACGTCGACATTGTCTTCCGTATTATCCATATTATGTTGTCATCCGACATAGTAGGATGTTCTTCGTGCAGAGCACACGGTTACTAATTTACTCAAGGTAAATAATTTATATACATTTATAATGTTTGAAAGTATTTATTTAACTCGATTATTCCTTGAATTGATTGGATGAAAGAATTTTTGTTTTAAATAATTAAATGTAAATAGTTAAATAATTTTAATTCTATTAGATTTTTGTGAAATAAAAAAGAAATTTCTTAACGACATAGAGAATACAGAGAATATAGAAATTGTGTAAGAATGATTTAAAGAATGTTAAGTTATTCTAATTCGAAAACAATATTATACGTAATTTAATTGTGGTATCATATGTTTCAGAACAAAAAGCTAACATACTGTGAGTTCGAATTTGGATAAAATTGTGTGTGTTTAGTGGTCCAAGACAAAAATAATGGTAAGTGTATCGCTCTTTACAATTTACTCCTAAAATTAAATGTATATTTCCTATAATGTTTCAAGTATATTTTTTTTTCTATAAAATTTAAAACACAAGAAATAGAAAAAAATGTTTCGAATGAAAGTTTAACGGTACAATAAGAGCTCGCGTTAATAAAATTTTGAAAAAAGTCCTTTTCCCATTTTTAAAATTTTCTTTAAGTCAAGGATTCGAGGAACACACTTTAATTAAAGATAAACATAGAAATTTTTTTAAAATTAATCTATGATGCATTAAATATTATGCGTATTTAAAGTTTGTCTTAAATTCCTAACTTATTTTCAAATGTATACTCGTGTTAATTATATTTTGTTATCTGGTATAAAATTAGTCAAATTCAAGTATACAAACTTTCAAACTCAATTTTCTTAAAAACAAAACTTTATATGGAAAAATTTTATTTCTTTTTCTTACATGCAGAATCATTATCCTGCCGTTTGTATTACAATTTTCAATACATCTTGTATACATATAGTAAATCTTAATTTTTAACAATTTAATTTCAAAGAAAGTAGAAATATTAGATATGTAGGCGAACAAAATGATAATCTTGTTGAATACTTTGTAATACCTACTTTACGTTTAATGATTGCAATCGTTCTTTTCAATGAATAATATTTTAATATCTTTAATATCTTTTTCCTTGATGAACTTCATTCATCTTGAATACAATGTTTTAAATCATTAACGTTTTCAAATTTGTAGCTTTGATAAGATTATCTCTAAAATTCCAATTATGAATCAAAAGATTTCACTGACTAATCTAAAAAATAAATTTTTTCGAGAAAATTATTCTTTTACTATTTTTTTTCTTTTTCTTCACCTTTTTTTTCTTTTTCTAGAGAAAAAAAGAGGTTATCTCCAGTAATTCTTATGATTAAATATTTTTTGTTATTCATTAAGTAATAAATTTTATTTCTATATTTCTGTGATAATCAGTAACAGACTAAATTATGTTTCCCACATAATGTGGGAATTGAAGGAATATTAATTATTCTTTATTGAATTAAAATTAAAATTTAAGAAATTCAAAATTTTTAAAAATTTAAAAATTTCTTGAATTGACTTGAATTAAATTTTTCTTTTCAATTAAACTTTTTTTAAAAATTAAACTAATATTTTGCGAATATTATCTATATTTTGTCATTTTCTTCTTCGTATGTATAATTATGAATGTTTGATTTCATTTAATGTTACTCGTTTAATCAAGATTTCTTTCGCAATTTTCATAAAATTAATATTTATCTTCGAATTCAAATTTGCTGTTATGTTGTAATTTAAAATTCAAATCTGCTGTTATGTTGTAATGTTCCTTCATTGCGAATAATTCGATTTCACAAACAATCAACTCTTTTCTTTTCTATAATTTTCTGGATCATTTTAGTAAATTTATGATTACTTTTTAATTTCGTAATCTATTCGTAACTTTTGCTATTTGTGCCATTGAATATTGTTCTTTTAATCTTAAATATAGTATATATTTCATACAAACTCAATTTGCTAACAAATATATCACAGGATTTACTTCATTCGCGTTAAATGTTTGTAATACGATAGTATATATAGGATTGATTGTGAGAAGTATAGATTTGGTGTTTATATTGTTATTTTTTTTTTATTCATAAATTATAAAATTTATAGAATTTATAAATATATAAATATATATAATATATATGAAATTTGTAAAATTTATGATAATATGATAATATATTCTACATTGTCTCAGTTAAAAAAGAGCGTCTAAATATTTCTTTTGTTTTCTATGTTATGAAAAAGCTTCGTAGCATGATTTAAATGGTTTCAAAGAAGGAATATTTTGGAACAAAAAATTTTTTGTCAGCTCATTTTTTTTTAAGTTTTTCAAAGTCATCGATATTTTTTATGTAAAAGGCATGATTTTTTTATTTTGTCTTTTAAGAAATGAAAAATTACATTTGAATATATTTAAATGATAACCTTCAGATGACCTTGGAAACCAATGATGTGATGAAATTATTGTAATGTAAATTTTCGATGTCGACAGAAATACATTTTCTGACACGAATAAATTATATTTATCATTAAATTTGGTTTCTACCTCACTGATGGTTATGACTAATAATAAGACGATATAAAAAATGAGTGGTGACGAATGTATTTTACTACGAATATACATATAAATAAATTAGAAATATGAAATTACATCTAATAATAATCAGAATATATCATAATACTTTAACAACTTCAATTACAATTCTATTTTGGAATATTCATTATTTTTGACAAGATTGGCAACAATGAAAAATTGAATTTATTATTTTTTAAAGTTTATTTTGACTTTGTTTTAATTCAACAAATTAATTCTTCAGGTTAGTTCGTCATATTTATTAATACTTGTCTGATACAATTTATCCTTCAAAATTCTTCATAGATAAAATTTCAATAAAGTCAAATTAGACAATTATGATGTATTATAGAAAAAAATTATATCTTTTAACTATTATTGTATTTTTCATCTATTCATATGATATTTAACATATAATTTATTATATTTATTATATTAAACATATAATATCATTAACATATAATTTATATGATATTTTTTCTTATTTTCATATTTGTTCCTATAATTTTTAACGTGTTTAACGCTGCTATGGTCCTCAAATTTGTATTTCAATCTGGCCTTCATTTTAATCGAAAAAGAACTTATAACGTCTAAAAATTTTCAGCACGCATATCAATCTTTTTCATTTTCTTCAAATTCAAAAAATTTTGTAACGATAGATTTTTCCATAGAAACTCAACTATAAGTATAATTCAAATATAAATAGAAATAATTCAAAGAATACAATAAAGATAAGAAATAGGTATAATACAGAATGATTTACTTCGAATGTTTATACTTTGTGATGAATCTATACAATAAAATAAGAAAGAAACTGTCATATGAACCTGTCATATCCTGTCATATCCTGTCTCTTACTTTTGGAGTTATAGATAATTGAAGAAAATGTTTGGTGTCTGTCTTGTGCCTCAGTAAATATAATGAATTTGATTAATTCGGATACCTTGAAACTTATAATTTTGTAAAAAAAATCGTAATAAATTTATTCATTTTATTTTAAAACGTTTTTATATCATATAACAAGTGAGTAAGTGAAAATATTTTTCTTCTTGAAAATGAAAATATAAATTATCGTAATATGTAAAAACACCAGAAAATGTTTTTTATAACTGAATCCACAATGAATTTGAAGATTGAAGCTTCTCTTTTACAACAACTCCCAAAAATTGATATTTTGTATTTCAATAAATATTTTCTGAAATAATTTTCTTGGTTATTTCAGAAAATGATATAATTTCGTTCAAACGATCCAAACATATGTACATACATACATTCCCGCTCAAAATAAAATTTTTAATTTTCATATATATTTTATAATACAATTATTAATATATCAATATATTTATTAATACATCAGCATTTTACAGGTCTTTCATTGTATAAAATGTTATTTCATTTTGACAATTTTAAAACAAATATAGCACTTAGATTTTTGAAAGATGTATCTACGTATTGTATTGCACCGATTTTGTCGATTTATGCGATTCTGTTCAGTTAATCAGTCAACTGTTAAGAAATTAGCATCAAGATTAAAATAGAATAGAGAGATGAGAATGATAATAAAAGAAACAAGTATATTTCCTCTTTATGTTTTTTTTTTTTGTATTATCGAATATTCTTCATTTTTTTCTCCAGTAAAATACTATCTTTGGTTGATACAGATGGTAACTCCTATCGACAGATCATCGTTACAGCTGGCGCCGACACCCATTAAGGTACACATTTCTTAAATACTTTTCCTTAAATTATCCAGTTACAGTAACTTAGTGGATGTCATAAAAAGATATAGTAGACGTAAAATATGAAATCTCAACTTTGATAATTCGTATATTTGAGATGTACATAGGTCTTTATATATTACAATGTTTTCTTATTAGTAGTATAATGTAAAAAAAGGTCGTTTGATAAAAAAATAAATTAAAAATGTAGATTGATGTATTTTCTCATACTAGCTATAATTTTCATATCCAAAATAACTTTTAAATTATGTGTCTAATGAAACAAGTTTAAATATGAAAGTTGTACACGGAGAGGTTTCAACATTTTCGAGGTCAATGTTGTCTTTTTCATTGAATTATATATATATGATTCTATATATATATATATATTTTTTTTTTGTCATAAATCGAAAGTAAAAAAGTATTAACCTATATTGGTCCTGAACTTAATGGTTAACGAGATATTTTATAATAATTTATTTCAAGGATAAAGAATGTGTAGTACGAAGATTGCAAACGATTCATTCTATCAATCGAGATTTTAGCTAGGATTCTATATTGATTTTTAAAAGAAAGAAAGCAAAAATGGGGTTCAGTAATAGTAAAAATGTAAGTATGTTTTCAATTTATGAGATATATGAAAATACAACAAGTTACATTTATGCATATTTGTGTATAAAATTGCAAGAAATTGATATGGATATTCTAAGTGCACACAAAATTGTATCATTATTTTGACGTATCGTCTTAGTAGTATCGCCAAAGATGTATCTTCATTATTGAGAAAAATTATATAATATTTCATTAACCATTAGGTTTAAGACCAATTACTTGAAATACAGTATTTTTTCAATTTATGAAGAACATATGATTCCATATGAAAAAATATAGTTGACCTTGGAAATTTTGGAACATGCACATAGAAAAAAAAATCGATAGCCTGTTAAAACCATTCAACTTTCATATTTAATAATTTTTTGTTAGATTCACAATTCGAAAATTATTTAAAATGTACAGGATACGTAAATTAATATATAATAATAGTATAGATTTGATCACTTTTGTTTGATTGCGAGAGAACTTTACTTTCTCTAAAATCTTTTCTTTTTTAAAACAATGCAAAATCGAATTGCTTCTCAAAATTCCAAAGCTTTAGAATCCGACAATCATATTATACACATACTTGCACATTCATGCTTATTCGTGCTTTCAATAGTTACATACAATCTAAGTACGAGATATAAAAGAGTATCAAATTAATTTTTATTATATATAATTAATTTTAATTATAGTTCCCATAATCCTTATAATTCATCGTTGTTAACACATGTGTATGAAAACCTATATTTTCTGAATGCGTGAATTATTAAAATTGAAATTTTATATTTTATATTAGTCATCTTTCACGGTAGCATTTCATTTATCCGTAAAAAATTTTAGAACTCCTATTACATGAACAAGAAAAAAAGAAAATAAACTGAAGAAAATTGTTATCGTGTGAATATCGTACGAATTTATTTTTCAAAAACTTTAAATACGATATTCTATTATACAGGGTGTCTTATGAAACTGGAACAAATTGTATCTGTCAAACAGTTAAAGATGTTACAAATCAAAACTAAAAGATATATTAAATGAAGCATGGAAATAATTTTTTATATTTTGCATTAATCAATCTGCAAAATGCAATTGTACCTTTGTTGTGTGTAGTATTAATTGGCGCTATTAAAACTATACATTTATTAAGATTTTCGTCCTAAATAAATTATTTCAGAATTTACTAAATTATTACTATATTTGTTGATATTACGGAATACTTATACTATGTAATAAAATGTAATTTGTACGTATAAATCAATTGCTGACACTGTAATATTCTTATTCAAATATTTGTTATAGTGTAAATATTTACAGATACATATATTCAAGTAGCAAACTTTTAACTACATAAGATAATTTCTAAATTAATGCTTCATTAAATACCACATAATTTTGATTTTTTCCAACTGTAACCAGTTGTGCAGACACTAATTTTTTAATATCTACGAATTTACCTAATCGAAAGATGATTCGATTATTAATAATATGTAATTATGATTTAAGGTGGTGAATCGACGAAATAAATTGAATGTAACAGATTTCAATGATAATAATCTGAATGAAAATAAACCAGAACCTCGCAATGATCTGCAAGAAGAAGTCAGTTCTTTTCCTGCCGAATTGCTATATCACGGAGAATACCACGATGATTTACCAATAATCGAGCATGAAAGGGAAAAACGATTTTCAAAATTATCGGCAAATTTTTTAACGGAACACATTAACGCCGAACAAAGGAGGTTGGTTGTCGTTTTCATGATACGTCTTGGGGTAAGTATAGTGAAAAATTAATCAAAGTCCTCTTATTTTTTTCTCTGGTCTCAACTATACAGTTGAGTTACCATTTTGTTCATTAAATTCAAGCGAAAAATTTGTTTATTGCAATAACATTGATTTATATTTATATAAAGCAATTCATACGGGATGTGACTTTTAGTGGCAACTAGGCGATATAAATATTTGCTCCGGGCAAAACGAACGCACGTATTGCTTTGTCACAAGTGAAAAGCTGCTCAACAGGAAAACAATGCCAGATGAATACTTACAATTACTTTACAGTTATTTAAATACAACACCTTTTGGATATGAAAGAGAATGTAAAATCCTACGTCCTATGCGAATTGCTTCATATTGTAAATTAATGTTCTTGTAATGTATAACGCAGCGACGAATATTCGCTGTCAGTATTCAAAATAAATTGCTTGATATAAATCTAATATATTCTTATAATGACGCGTTTAAACGAAACGAATGAATGTTTGTTTTAACGAAACCATATCAATCAAACTCGCTTGTATCGTTTGTTACACTGAACAAAGTGCAATAAATAAATCGAGACAGGAGGCAAATGAGCATACATTCAATTAAGTCTAAACGCAATGACAATTGCGTCAAAGTGCACTGAATTCGGGAAAATGTACGAATCTTAAAATATCTATGTTATTTTAATCAAAATAGTTCAGTTAATTCTCATCCGTCCCTCATTTTTTTCAATTGAAATTTAATTTTTCAATTGTTCCTTGGTATTAGATTGACTCAATGATAAAATACTAATATCTGTAATGAAAAGATAAATAGTTAAATTTAATAATTAAATTATTAATTTATTAATAACTACAGTAAAATTTTAATTTCAATTGGGTGTATGATTCATATAAATTCTACTACTTCTATTCATATTAATTGTCACACGTAGATATTCTAGTTTTGTCTAGAGATTCGTTTAACGTTATGGTCAACTGTTTTGAATTTTATAATAACTGTTTGAAAAAACGTGCCTATTATGCATCTTTGATGATAATATACATATTGAATGCATAATTGTGGTATAATAATTAGAAGATGATGTATTCTCTGTATGAAGTCCTCGTCAACAAATCAAACAAGTCCTTGTAAACAAATATTGTTTGTAACTCTGGTAATATAATTGTTATAAAAAATGTCAAAAATATATGCTATAAAAAATAAAAAAATAAATATCACAGAGCTTGATGATAAGAAGAGCGTGAAAATAATATAACATTTTATCAGAAAACTATGTCAAATTGATATAAGGATTGAATCAGGCTTAAATTATAAGAAAACCAGGACAAAATGGAAAAAAATAATATAACTCTAAAGCTAAGATAACAGTAAAGCTTAGTAAGGCAATTCTTTTATTACACAAGCATACATTAAATTCTTATAAAAAAAAAAGAGGAGATCTTAAAAATAACAGTAGCTATATAAAATCCACGGATATAGCATTTAATATTTATAATATTAGAATTCATACAAATCTTTTTTCCCAACTAGAGCAAACATCTAATCTTCATTCAATCTAGATTCACCATAACATTTCTGAGAGTAAATACAAATATTTTGCTTATTTTTACTATTATCATCATTCCTTGGCTTTTTATTTAATTTTCTTTTTTTTTCAATTTTGTTCTTTCATAATGTGAATATATCTTGTCCAAAACCGAGTATCTGATGATTTTATCTTATTGTATGCTTTTGCCCCAGTATATGATTTTATAAGTAGTACAAATTTTTAAGACTACCATGATGAATTGAAAAGTAACCATTTACATAAAAAAATACTTACCTAAATAATATTAATAATATTAAAGTTTATATTAGCACAATTATTTGATCACAGCACAAATACAGAAAATATTATAATCTAGGAGAAAATATGTGTATCACAATTGTCTTTATAGTGACGACAACAATATATGGTTGCAATTGTTTTAAAAATAATAGTAGGTTCCGGTTTTACTCATCTATTGACTATTTATCTATATTATCCTATAAATAATTAAGTGTTGTGATACAATAATGTAGTATTGGTACTTTATTTAAAATAAAACATTTCTGAATTAACAATTATTGTCCACACAATAATCAGTTCTTAATAGAAATATCAATTCTTATTAATATTCGCAGATACACTATCGATATCCCTCTTACATCGTATATCAATCCGTGAAATTGTTCGATGCCATTATGGACAAAATTTCTGTGGAAACGATGTTTATTCAATTAGCGGCATTAGCTAGTTTGTGGATTGCGCTTAAGAAGCAAGAAAATTTCGATAAAATTCCAACAGTAAGCAGAAATTATTCTTCGCAGCATTTCTCGTTTTTTTACTTTGATTTTTTCCTTCATAGGCTACAGACATAGTCGCTCTCGCTAAAGATCTGTACATAGGAAAAGAGGACTTACTTAAGGCTTATGAAAGGAAGATCTTACGAATTCTTGATTTTAACATCACATTCGCCGATGCATTTTCCTTATTTACACATCATTTGGTCAGTTGTAAGCGTTACATCGATGTACCCAACGAAACTACTACGTTTTTATACAACTGCGGTGGATATGTGGTGAAAATCTTTTCTTGTTATTATTTTGTTTCTTTTTTTTGTTTAACTCTTAAGTGTGGTTCTATATAACTTTGGCTCTAAATATCATTTAGCTCTTAAATAACATCAGTAGTTAATCGAAATAAAATTGAATGTATGGAATGAAATAGATATAAAATATAAAATGTAAAATTTCATCTTCAAAAAATCATACAGTAGAATACAAAAGTCCCAATATGCAAAGTGCACCAAAATCATAGAGCAACTGGCAAAACGGTGATTCTTTGTGCAAAAATAAAGAAATAACATTTTTTTCATCTAAGATTTTGTTTTCGAAAAATTTAAAAAAGCGAAAAATATAGAAGATTTTTCCGTTTAATACTTTATTTTCAAGGAAATAAAATTTGAACATGTATAATTAAAAATTGGCTCGGTACACTTATATTTGATAAACTTTCAAAGTATTTGAACTTTTTCGGGAATGAAATATTTTATATAAAAATTTCATTCTATATTTTTGACTTATTACTTATTTTCAATATGCTCGTGGTAATTATTTTTTTTCTCTCTCTCAATATAGTTATAGAAAACACCGAACTTTATTAAGTATTGTATTTTATGGAAAGCATTACATTTCATATATATTATTTTGTATTATTTACATAATGTGCATTTTTTGCATTTTAAAATTTTCTATGCATGCATAAAAATTTCTAATCTAACAATAAATGTAATAATAGATCGTATCACATGCAAGGATATTTTTATACTTTTTGAACTTTGAATCGCCAAAGCTAAGATTTCATATCCTGAATACATTATCATTTCTCATAATATTCCAAAATATAGCTATCAGTATCTTTTGGAAAAAATAGTCATAATTTAAAAAAATGGAATTACATTCCATTGTACAAATAATATATGAATGTCGTATTTTAAAAGAAAAGTAGAAATAGAATCGAATACTCGCTTACAAAAAAAGAAAAGTCCGCAGCAAACAATAGCTTACTATTTAAGGAAATATTCTATTTGAGAATTTTTTATATTCATTATATGAATTGTATGAAAATTCTATATTCACTGAATTTTTCTATATTCATTAATTAACATTCAACACACAAATTTTTTATATTCTGCCATATACTCGATACAAGAATAATTAACGCAAAAAGGTCGACAAGTGTAATTAAACATAAATTTATAATCAATGACTAAACTTATTTTTTGTTCTTAACTTTATTATTGTTGTTTGTTTCATAAAATTAGAGGGATATTTGAATTTTTTTTAACAATTTTAACAATTTTAAAAAAATTTATATTTAAAAATGGACTGTATTTAATTCGTTATTTGTGGTGTGATAAAGAGTGAAATATATTCAATTACAAAAGTCTATATATATCTATCCAATTTTAAATACCTAAAATCAGAAAAAAAGTGATTTTGGATCTTAATTATGTGAAATTATATCATTTTTAATAATGATTCCTAAATTTGTTTAAAAAAATATGTAAATTGGAAATATGATCTTATGAAAATCTATGTATCTATAGTTAGTATATATATAATAAAGCAAATAAAACATGATTTGATTATAATTATAATGATAACAAGAAAATTTTGCACATTCTAATGTAGTTCTAATGATTATATAGTGAATTTCATAATTTCGATATTAAAAACATAATCATTTTTTCTGAATTTGTATAACTTTAGTTGCAATAGAACTTCACTTGTACAAAGTTTGTGGAGAAGAAATAGTTCATAATTAATTCGAGTTCATATAAGTAACAGAAGTCTACTAATTCTTCCTTTTTCGTTTTCATGAACTTCAAATAAGTGCATTTAATCATTAACAATTTATTTAATCGGCTATTGACTAAAATTTGGTTCAAATACCAACTTTTTGTCGGTTCAAATATACCACCTTATATGAACAGAGGTTTAGTTTAATAAGTAAATAAATGCGCAAAATATTTAAAATGTTTTTCTTTAAATATACAGGATGGTCCATTTAAGTGAGATAAATATCTTTTCGAATTGTGAAAATACAAAAAATATTTTTTGCTTAATATGAATAGTATCAAAAGGCGAATAATATCAAAATTTTAAAGGTTATTTTTTTTCATATATATGTTTTTTTTCAACTATATATATATATTTTTTTTTGTTGCTTCGTTTAGCTAGTAAAAGAATACGTTCAGATATTTGAAATTATTTTTTTTCCTTCCTTTTTAAGTTTCAGGTATTATTTAAATTTATCTGTGTCGTGATCATAGATTTTGGCCAAGAAGCAATAAAAAAAAATATATAGTAAAAATATAGCAATATGAAAAATATGAAAAAAAACATCAATGAAAACTTTGAAAAAAAGAACCTTGGAAAAAAATATTATTACCAGTCATTGGTCTTTTGATACAATTCATGTTAGCCAAAAAATATTTTTTGCATCATCACAATTCGAAAAGATATTTAGGTGACCTAATTTAAATTAGATCATCCTGTATATATAGACTTTTGTAACTGATTGTAATTATTTTTGTTTCGAATTATAGAAAGCAGATAGCAATTCTAATAAATGTTGTATTGTATTCTTGTTTTATCCTAGCTGCTGACGTGATTTGACTTGGACATATATTTTTCAGATTGATGTTACGCTTCTAGACGAACAATTTTGTAGAACGTCTGCAAATCTGATTGTTCGTACTGCAATGGAATTGGTGCTTGGTCTCGTTTTGGATCTCACAGCCGATAGTGCTACACCTCGATGGTTATTCTGGAGGGGTTTACTTTTTGCTGCCATTCCTCGTCCAATCGACAGGTAATATCACTTTTTCTTGTCCGTAGATTCCATATATTATATCTTCTTATAAAAATGTGAAAAATATATGAATGTATAAATGTATAAATCATTTTCCATTACCATTATCTAAATGTATATATACATACTTTAATGGTATGTATATATACATACTTTAATGGTAATTAAAAATACATTAATATAATTATTTGTTTAAATATACTTTATGTATACTAATGCAAAAGTGAATCAACGAACACTTTATTACAAATATATGAAATATACATACATACAAATAGGAAAACGTTTATAACTTTTAAAAATTGAAATAGACATAATATGGCTCTTCTCGTGACTTTCACGTGATTTTTTTTCATATATCCGTGACAACAAACTTATAAAATCTGTAATAAAAGCAAAATTTAATCATGATATTTTTAAATATGAATTTAAAGTTTCAATAGTTATGCATGTTCATTATTGACCTCTCATAATAGAGAGTAATGTGGCTCTTGAAAGGAAACGCTCAGAATCGAAAATAAATGTGTACAGTATGAGGCCCAAATCTCATTTTCTGATATTTTAGATATTAAAATTCTTAGCTTATAATATCGAGACGACATATCTATATATTTTGTAATGGATGTTATTTTGAAGAACATAGCGACATATGAATATTAAATTCTTTTGTGAATTATAGACATACAATGACACATAATATTGTAAAAAACAATAGAGTTTTGTTTATAAAGAATAGACTTTCTGATGTTTAATGTTACCAAAGAATTATTTTTATGAATTTTTTTAGGGACCGATATTAACTTCACTTTTGTTCAAGTTTCTAAAATAATATTTTTATAATATAATATAATTGAAGAGGGTATAATTTTACGTGGAAAAAATAAGTCAATAATAAAGAATAAAATTTTTTTATTTAGGCTTTTATTGAGGCTTCATTTTTGAGAAAATTATCTGTCTACCCGTCTTTTTCAAAAATATATCAAAAGTCTTTTTCATAAGACGGCAAAACTTTAAATTGAAACTTTATCAAGTACTAAATTAATTCTTAACTAAAGATATCCGAATTGTATTATTTTGAATTTTATTCTATTTTTTTTCACCTATTTTCGCAGATAAAATAATTTTCTATCAATTAGCTATTTCTGTTTTCAGTATAATAATAAATATGAAAACGAGCAGATTGCGGTTGCGCAATAACATATCAATTAGTTGGCTGATCAATTTACAATCCACTTTGCACAAGAGATTATAATATATTTTTTTGTTTTCACTTAGAAATAAATAAATGTTTTAATCAGAATGTTAGAATAACATAGTAAACATAATAAATCAGTATGACTGACTGATTCAATTGACAATAAGTTTAGACACCAGACTAAATCTGTGGTTATACGGGAAAACACTGCATGCTTTCACTTTCAAGATATTACCATATTTAAAATTCATAATATTAGTTAGTTCTTCTTATAGAATTTCGGTTAAATTGTACTATTTTTGTTCTTTTTTTTTGATTTCATAAATTTTGTTTTTGTACATTTTTTCGTTATAAATACATAAATCTTATTCAATTAATACATAAATGCAATTTTTTTTAAAATTGTGACATATAGCGTTGTTTCCTCATAATTACAGATATTTAATTTTGACGCCTTATGATGCAGAGAAGGGATAGATTAATAGGTTATGAAAAGTATACAAAAATACATAATAATATACTAATGAAGACTAATTTTTTTACACATATTCTGAAATTGTTTGATGATCAAAAAAAAAAAAAAAAAACATATGAAATAAATTATTAAAATTCAAAATAGTAAAATATTCTAATTTGCATGACGATTAGTTTCTAAATATAACTGGTAATCGTATCGGAAAATCTTAGATCGCTTCCGAGTCCGTCCTAAACAACATAGTTAGAGAATCGTAGGATAAGAGATAATATCATTAATAATTTTAAATATCAAATCAGCAAGTCCCACTTCAATCATTTTTAATTTGCAAAGTCAATTGAATTCGCATGCCTGTCGTGCAGATTATAATTATCAATGTAAACAGATAAGAATCAGATAAAAACAAAATTTCTCCTAAGTCGATGCAGTGATAAAGAAAGAATGATAAAGAAAGAGTAGGGAGTTAGGAGGAATATACAACTAAGGTTTTATTATTCAATTGAATTTTAATAAGAAGATATTCCACATTTGTTATAGAAAATTGTAGTAAAGTACATTTCTAGTCGTTCTTTACTGCAATTATCCCTCCCGCAAGAAAGAACTTGCAGACACTCCTGTCACATCTGTAACATTGTTAAACGGGAGCAATTTGTCAACATTTAGCTATGTCTCCACTAATGCAATGAAATTATATTTATAACAAAATAACAAAGAGAGCGAGTAGTTCATTAATTTTGGTGGATCTCTTACGTTTCGATAATAGACACACAACCATCACTGTTTTCTATTAATTCAGCAGTGGTCTTATAATAGGCAGGCACGCCATTGCAGATAGTGAGGATTGGATTACTAGTCAAAGTAAGCCTACTCTTTTCATACCGAAAATATGCTCTTTGCTGTTCCATCTGGTCTATTAATATACTAATGGGTTCCTTAAAATTATTTTCCTCTTCATCAATTCCAAGACGGAAATAATTGAAAGAAGACAATCAATCCTTGTTAGATATCTTCTTACCGAGTCTCGTAACATTGATTATTATAATTCTCTGGCTTCGTTTAAAATAGCAATCGATTAGAAAATAAATCTATTAAAAAATCGATTAGACAGAGTAAGATTTGATTATCCACCAGAGTTAACAGATTCCTTTAGGTTAAAAATTAGATTGGATCTCGCATGCCTTTCTTTTATCTTGAAAATGGAGCTTTATATTCGGTTAATAAAGTTCTGTAAAGTGTCAGAGTCACGGCTATTTTATTTTCCATTGCAGAAATTCTGGATGTTAATAAAAATATCTTTTCACTGATTTTAGTGATCTCGTCTTTATAGATGGCGTAAATTATTTCGAGATCCTTATAAATTTTCTCTTTTCGCTTATTCTTAAATTTCTTTAAGTTTCTTTAAGTTTTTTAAATTCAACCACCCTTCAAAGCTGGATGTCTGCATTCTAAGGAATTAGTGGTAATGTTATATCTTCATATCTTCGTTACACATGTGTATAAATCTTCGTGTATATATCTTCATTACACATGGAAGCTGATAATGAAACTTCATAATTAAGTGAAGTTCTCATAGTAACTTAAAATTTCCATTGAACGTTTTTAATTCTCTTCTTGCCTGGAAGAAAATTGCCTTTTTGCCGTTTCAGCAAAGCACAGTTCTAAAACTGCTGTGAGAGAAAATTACATAAACAAGTGGATATACTGAATTTACAATTTGAAGTAAAATGATCTTTACAAGGAGACTTTTGAAAAAACGATCTAATCAAGAAAACAAAACCATTGCGATACAAGAAGTTTGATGTGACAAGAAAACAGAACGTCGATGGAATACATCCGATTCCTATAAGATCTCTGATTCTAAAAAAATGAAATAATTAGTTGAATTTAATCAGTTGAGCCGTGAGTTGATCAGTCACTTGTTCACCGTATGTTGTCGCATTTGTTTCTATTGATTTGATTTCTCAGTTAGATTTCTGATTAGTCAATTACATTATGATCGCAATTTGCTCGTTATATTTTTATTCTAAAATTAGTCAAATACGCCGATAAATTTTCAAACTCGATTTTCTCAAAAATGACGCCTTAAATAAAAAAATTTTATTCTTTGTTTTTGATTTATTTTTTCATGTAAAATCAGGTCTTTCTGGATTTGGGACAATCTTCAGTACTGGAAATTCAACATGTATGTTAAATAAAACTAAATTGAGTTTCTAACAATTAATATTTAATTTATGTTTTAATTTATATTTGAACTTATATTTTAAGCAAATATTTAGAGTAATTTAGAATTAGATTTCAAGAAGATATTTAAATCTGAGGGGCCATGTTATCACTCTTTTCTCAATCAATTATACAAAATATTTTTTTGTATATAACTTTTTGTACATTTTCATTTCTACAAAATTCATTGTTATAGATTCAATTATATTCTAAGTCTCAATTAACTTTTGTATTAGAATTTCATTGATTACGTAGATATTTTTTAGAATTGTTGCTATAAATATCATCTATATATTTTTCGACTATACTATCTATTATCGCATGAAAATAATTTACAGATTTGAACACAAGGCGATCGATGCAATGCGTGTTGCAATGTTGCGACTCGTGTTAAATTCTGGAAACAAACACGACTATGCTTTCAAAGTGGTATACAAAAAATATAGCCACAGCAGATACGGCCGAATATCGGAATCTTTTGTAGAGCGAGCTACCAGAATATCTCTTATAGAATCTTCATGCAATACATAGATTCATTTTTATTGATATATTCTTTAGAAAAGAAAGAAGAAGAAGAAGAGGAAGAGAAAGAACATAGAGTAAAATCTAGTTCTATATTGTATAGTGGATATAATAATTCTTTAATTAAATTCGCAAAGATCGAATTGAAACATTAGAATGACAAATTCATAAATAAGATTTAATTCATTAGTCAATTATGACTAGACTGTATGTACGCTTTGTTTTGTTGGATAGTTTTATTATAATTTCTATAATTTTTCTTCCGTAAAAGTTTTTATAAAATATGGATTTTTGCTATTGATGGATATATTAATTATATTAATTAATATATATACATATATTATACGATATATATATATATATAATGTTATATATATGTACATACTAAATAGTACTTATGTGGTGTTTCGCTGATATTTTTAAGATTTTAGTCTTTAACGATACGATGAGACGATCAAGTGATCGTAGACACCCTAAATATTCCCAAATTTTTTGAATATACTGTGATAATCGAATTATACTCGTGTGTTTCAGTACACTTCTATATATAAGTTACAAGTGAAGTTAATTAGGTTTAGTAATTAATGTGAAAAGGACGAAGTTAATTAACGCAAATTTACAAAAATAAGATTTGACTTAACTCACATTTGACTTGACTCAACTTAACTAACATCTAAAATATATATTAATAATTAAAAATAGAAAAAAATTTCAATAATACTAATTGTAAGTTAAAACATACTCGCTGCTGGTTAGTAGAAGATATTTCAATAAAAATTCTTTACTTTTAATGTACATAACGTTTTCAATGTAATTAGTACATTCTTTATTATAATTCAAACATAAAAAGTAGAAAGATTAAATATTTTTCTCAATATTCCTACAAATAATGATTGTCAATTGATATGATAGGTAATAAATTATTAAATACGTGATAGATAATAAATCCTTATTTCCACGTATAAAGAACACTAAACTACTACAGTAATTTTATATTCTACTCACAACCATGATCAATCTTCGAAGTATCGAACTTAATAATTTATTAATTTTGCTTTCGTTTCATCTAATTAACGAATTTTGTTATACGATATTTCCTAGGAATACTAGCTACATAAATAATTATTGATGAAATTAAAATTTTTCCTGACACATATACAAGTTTTTTGAATATTAATCCAAAATAAATTTATTTCAATATACTTAAAAATACTGGCTTTTCTGTTTAGAAATTAGTATTCACTAAATATAATGTAACATTCGGATATTTATAACATAAAATTATTTATACTATGTAACATGAAAAATATGTCTCAAATGATATTTTCATACATGGAAATCTTTCGTTGTTTGAATATTTAAAATTACACATTATAATTATTTTCTTTTTAACACATCACTTTCTTTTAATATTGAAGTATATAAATATAAACAATTTTGAATATACTTTTTTATATATAGGCTATTGTATTATATATGAGTAGTACAGACGTGTGACTCCAGCATATTGAAATAAAAAAAGTTCGTATGAATAATATTCTCAATATGATCTTTTAACTAAAGAGAATAATTGCAAAAAATGAATTTTGCGATGAAAAAGAAATTATGAATAAACATTTATATATTGCAAAGAAATGTGCCTAGCCATGCAATGCGTGCACTTATAATAGATGCAAGATTAGTTAGTCATGAAAAAATAAGGATGATTATAATTAATTGATGATATTTCATAATTTTTTAAAATTGTAAAATACATTCTAGTTTAAACCCTTCATGTAACTGAACCTCATTAGATAACAGTAACATATGGATGGACTTCCCGCACACTCGGTGCTTAATTTTTGGACCTAATTTAAGTATGTAATCTACGTATTTATAATCTACGTATTTCAGTACGATTCCACAGTTAATAAACACCATCTGTTAATCTTTTACAGATCTTGTCCCTTGCTCTTATGGCCTCTTGATCGGTGTTTGTGACTCTTGTGAGTGACATCATACTTCGGTATTGGGGAATATTATTCTCAAGATTTCCCCTACTTTATCGTCATTATCGTTATTTTTCGAGCCCAGGATATTTGTCTTATGGTTTTTTGAATTTACGCTCTCCATGTTTAGAGTCCAATACATAATCAACAATGCCAACAATCTGCTCTGTAATATATATCGTTCTTATTGTTAGTACTATAATAATCTCAATTATTATTATAATTTTCACAAAAGCAAAATCAGAAAAAAGGAAACTATAATATTTGCTATTTAATCAAATATGTATATTTTATTTATTTATATAAATATACATGCTTGTTGTTTTTCATTATAGATATGTAAATTGATCATTAATATTAAACTGGTCATAGTAATTATTTATATTATATAGTGTAATCAGTTAACGAACAAATCGGACAACGAACACTTTTACGAAAGATTTTTACATTCTGACAATGAATACATGTTTGGATAATGAACACCTCACACCACGACGCTGTGTATAAGAGTTATAGAACTGCATTTTACTGTCATCGAGGATCGGTTAACGAATAATTTGGGTAGCAAATATTGTCTGTGAACGGATTATGTTCGTTAACCGATCATTGTAATATTATTCGTAGTAATTGACGTTCAAAAATATGATATGCAAGAAATATTCTAAGCTAATAAATAGATAAAACAACAGTACATAGTACATACGACTTATGATTAAATGTGAAGAATGTTAAAGAATATGAAGGCAAAGTAAGTTTCTGAGACACATAAGTAAGAATCTGGAGACGCACCTGGGATAGTGGATTGAGATATTTCCCTCAAACAGAGTTAAAAACTTGAATAGAACTGATGTTTACATTACATTCTACAAGTACTTATCTGGATATTTATATTTAAGAATAGGTGGAGTTCCTTCGATGTCATTTGGTGAACCTTTTTCGGTCAAATAAACAAAATTTACACGAATGCCGTGGGACTGGATGGTGACTTTAGATAACAAAACATAATGAAATGAGTGATCAAACGTCGCAAGCTAAGGTGTAAAGGTACCGTGCCGAGAGCTGCGTGGCCGTGGCGACGTTAAGCCTGCGCGGTCATTAACGGTCCCTATGGGGCACCTGGGGCCACCCCATAGTATTTTAGTCCCCTTACCTGAGTACGGGGCTCTACTCAGGTGGACCTCTTTTTCCCCTTTGTTTGTGTTGGTCTCCGGAGGCTTCGGCTAAAGGAGACCGTATATGAAATGATGACTGATATAAACAAAAATTTACATAAATCTAAAAATAATCTTTACATAAATCTGAACTCTAAAAATTCAGTATCTCCAGAAAAAAATTCTCGTGAAAAAGAAACAATTTCTGTAGATGATACTCTAATGAGTGAGTTGATAGAGAAAAATCTTATGAAGCTCTGGAAACTAGCGGAAAATATCAAAGATCTAAATGAAGAAATTCGCATGCATTCTTCTAAATCAAATGTTAAGGAAACTATCGGAGAGAAATCAAAAAAAATTGACGCTTCCGTGAAGTTTCTCTTTCGTACGCTCAAAGAGAGCACAGAAATGAATGAGCAGAACAAGGTAAAAAAAAGCTCAATCAATGCAAGTACTCAAGTTTTCCCTCCTTTAGATTATCAATCCGTCACTTCCCGCGGTCCCAGCGTCAATTCTCAATCCACTTCCGACTCATTCCCTATGCCTTCTAACGCGAAATCTCCTCCAAAACAGTTCCATACACAAGTGTTGGATAAAAGATCTAAAAGTTCAAAAAAGTCTCTCAGTTCCGAAACATTTGAATCACGTGATAATACCTCACAGGAGACTGAAGAACAAATCCCACAGAATATGCTTAATTCTCATTCTCACGAACAAGAGCAGATTTCTGAGAATACGGGTGAGGTAATTTCAAGTCAAAGAAAGAAAAAAACCTATCCTCCACCAATAAAAATTTTTGCGAACCAAAATAATATCATTCCACACTCTAGTGAAGAACAAACCAAACCGTTCAACGATATAATTGATCATCTTTACAAACAGTTCCCTGAATTTATAACGAAAAGTCAAAAAATGAGGAAGATAAATCGTTCTGGAGCGATAGTAGTAATTCCTATTGGTAGAGAAGTAAAAGGTACGAACTTTAAAGATACCTATAGAATGATATTGTCGAAGGCGAAAGATAAGCTGGTTTGCACCTCTAAGATACGCAAAACGCAGGATGGTTATCTTTTGATTGAGCTGAAAAAAAATACCAATGCAATTAAAACTGCTACTGACATCCAGACAATTATTGGTCATGAATTTAAAGTCAGGCCATTAGTAGATAAAGTTTTCATAGAGATTCGGGATTTAGATCCAATAATCACTAAACAGAAAATTAAGTCGATTCTAATGAAAATTCTGCACACTAAACAAGAGGAGAATATTATAGTACGACAATTGAGTACAGCTTGGAGAGGAACTCAAAGAGCAGTAATTGAACTCGCAGCAAATGAATTTAAGAAATTGCAACGGATCAAGAAGTTTAAAATAGATATGATACATACCACTTGGAGAGAAGTACCCATGGTGACTCGATGCTATAAATGCCATCACTTTGGGCATATTGCAAACAAATGTAAAGTGACATTTGATGCAATCGAATGTTGCAGAAGATGCGGTAAGATTGATCATCAAGTACAATATTGCAGTAGCAAACCCTGTTGCGCTATCTGCAGAGACGAAGGAAAACAAGGTAAAGACTTGAAACATGTAACAGGATCGATTAGATGTCCCGTCTATAGGAGGCTCATAAATGAAGCAAGTCAGAAACAGAAATTAATTACTTCGTCTTCTGATCCATAAAGAGATATTTCTCTGAATCTTGGATTTTTTTACTTCAGCTTCGTGTCAAAGGCACATAATCTGTCGGTTATTGATATCAACAATATATAATGTATGTAAATGGAAAGAAAAAAATGCAAAGAATATTATTGGTATGATCTAAGGGAAATTATAATAAAGTCTATTATTAAATAGAAATCATCAAATGCAATAGAAAAAATAAAAAATCTATAACAAAGCATAAAATAATTTATCTTTAAGGTATTAATTATTTGGAAATTTTAAGATAGTAATAGTAAGAGTTTAATAATGGTAAAAAATGAAAAACTAAAAATTTCTAACTTTTTATTTTTAATTTTTTATTTCTCTATAATAATATAAATAACTTATAAATAACTACTATAAATAATATAATGTAATTAACATGATATATGTATT